GTTCCAACTTCTTATCTGGTGCGCGTCTTTTATTTTGACAGCGAATGCGCATCTGCGGACCACTTATGTGCAGCCCTGCTTATAAGGCTTGGTGTAGACTTCTGCAGGGAATCTTTGTAAAGGCTACAAAGATACCTGTAGAGCCTGATGGCGTTGCCTGGGTTCATGGTTGTGCTGGTGCATTTGGTGTTAATTATTGTGTATTTATCCCTCAAACTTTGCCACTTCTTTGTGCTTTTCCTCACATCCATTCCGGTTTTGGCAATCTTCCTCCAGGAATTTGCTCCTTATATTGAAGCTATGATTATTATTCCTTATTCCATACTGAGACAATGATTGTCATTCTCTCAATGACAAATTCCAAAACTGTGACAACAAAGTAGCTGCAATGTGCAGGAGGAATCGGCACTACTAAGCACTCCCATCACAATAGCTGCGTCGACCTGTAGTTACATTTCTAGGGAGACTCATGTCAGATTATGGAGTAGGGTTTCAAAGAAATTTGTGGTAACGACACAGCTATGGCACAGATCTCCCAACTGAAGCACAAATCCCCAGTAAACTGTCAACAGATGATTGAGTTGTCATCTAAAAGGACATCTCTCCATAGAAAATTTATTTAGCTGTAGAAAATGAATGCTAGTCCTGTGAGATCACAGAACAGGATATTCGTAGGCCAAATGCTTCTAAGCTTCTTGTTTTTTCCTCCATATTAATGTTAAAGTGGCCACTGCACACAGTTAAGGAGGAGAATAATTTTTGGAATAGAAAAGTACATTTTTACAATTAGCATAATATTGCTTTTAAAAGCTTTGAATTGAGCATTCCAAAAACAAAGGTTTGGGCAGTTTGTCCTTTCATTTTGTGAAGCAAATGCTATCATTCGCTTAAGTGCTATTTTGTAGAGTTATAATCAGCAGCAGTAGCCCATAGAAACATAATTAGCTTTGTTTTTTATTTAGATGCTTTTTTATTTTTACTATAGTACTTGATAATAATAAAGCAATTTTACAGCTTGACAATAATACAGCTGAGATACAAGTTATAGGTTTAAAATTTCAGAGAGAAAAAGAGAAACTGGCCACAAAATGAAGTGTGTTTTAGTTTTCTTTATAATTTTTCCTCAATCGAGGGGTCAATTCTCGCAGCAGAAAAGTCACTCTCACCACTCTTTATGAACTTCTCAAAACAGTTAAGGTGTTTTTCATAACACAGACTCACCTGTGCAAAAGGCACTCAAACAATCAAAAACCTTTTTT